TTTGATGAATTTTAATGAATTTGCATTATTCATTTAAATTCATCAAAGTTCATGATTTCTCAAGGATATGCCTTTCATGAATTCTGATGAATTTTAATGAATTTTTGCTGTGCATAAAAGTCCATGAATAATTCATAATCACAAACTTCATGCAGAGTCATGCATTTTTATGAATTTATTAATTATTCATAAAAGTTCATGAAGAATGCATGAAAGCAGGTTGATGAATATTCATGAATAAGTATTCATGAATTTCAAACTGTCTGTATTCATGAATGTTCATGAATTGTTCATGACTATTCATGATTTCATGAATACCCTCTCGCAGGGGAAGGAATGTGTGCTTTTTACTTTTTAATTCATTCAACAAATACATTTCATCGGTCGTTTCTGTTCTGTTGCCTGCTAGCCTTATCAGCGGGATTTCACTAAGAGGCGAGCTTGACGCCATATTGTTTTGGTTAGAAACGGGGCGTGGCTTAAGTGCGATGGGAGGAGCTTAACATGATTGATCATGATTCTATCGCAGATAGAACATTCTCTGTATCCGATCAAAACATGCATTGCAAATGAATCGTGTTATAATATCATAATAAGATTTAGTTGCATTAGGAGTGTATGAATTATGGCCATTATCATCTCCTCCTCCTCCCCTTTTTAGACATGCGAAGACTTAAATGAATTGCAAGCAGCTGTTCTGCAGTCCAGAAAGGTCAATGCAGCAGAAAACATTGCAGTTGTGGTTTTCTCCCCTGAATCAACAGACGGCAACACTGACACTGAACTACTTGAGGCTCTTGATGGGAAGTTCGATGCCCTGAGGGACAAACTTTTGGCTGAGGCCCTCATGAAACAGGTATGTGGGGTGAAGTAAACCGGCTAGTCATGCCAGGTTCATAGACTATCTATACCAGTTTTATTGTATTCTAACATTACACAAATGTACCAATATTTCAGGAATTAAGTTCATTTACCAGTTGTAAGATGTATACTTTTTATTTCTGTTTTGTTGTTACAAATGAATTTTGGTACAATTTGTATATTTCTGACATTGAAAAAGTGAATTTCAAGTATGTAAAGTTCTTTTCAATCTGAAGTTAATCTGAACTTTGAAAGATAAATTTGTATATTCATGGAACTCCTTAAATGATTTTTTATATTTACTCATTTTGACCTCTTTTGTTTTTACTCATTCTAGATGATGTCAGAATTAAACTTTAAAATGTATTTAAACAGTTTTGTAACTTTCCCGTTTTTACCATGTTTTCAGCTTGGGGAGGCTGAGTGGAAGTTACTGTCTGAGAAAGAAAGACAAAAGAAACTCATGGAACTCAAACTTAAGGAAAGACAACTCAGGCGAGATGGGAAATTTGATGAGTTGGCAAGATTACTGGGTAAGAATTCAATTTTCAATGGGTCCCGGTAAAATAAAAATAGAATATTAAAATATTGCATTCTTCAATCTTCATGAATCAATGGAAAAATATTACTATTGGATACCATCTGTATATTATCCCTTAACAAAATTGTTTTAACTGCATTAAGTCAACAAGTAGAAAACAAAATGTGAAATGAACACCATATGATAAAAGTACTGGTTTGCCTCAGAGCTGAAAATCAAGTTCATGTACATTTTCAAAGTTTTATGGAATGTAAAGTATGAAGACTAGTGGTGATATGTGTGTTGTGTCTGGAAGGTGATGCATTTGAAGACCAGGAGCTGCTAAAGAAGCTGATGGGGGAGTCCAAGGAGGACCAGGAGAGGAAGCTGAAAGAGCGACTGGAGAAGAGGAGGCAGAGGAAAGCACAAGGTAGGGAGTCATACATCAACATACTGAAAATGGGTTGGAATTGGTTGTACATGTTCTACAACATACCACCATTTTCCAAGTGAAATTTTGTCATTTTGAAGAGATTTGGCAATATGTTTAGGAAATTCAATACAGAAATTGGTAATAAAAAGGAAAAGAGGACATTGATCTAATGGCAGTAAGTGAAGTGGCAAATCAAATGAGGGCGTTATATCAAGGTTTGATACTTTGACATATTCATGAGAAATGATTTTCAATTCTTCAATATGTCAGTCTAATCATTTTGGCCTTTATAATTAATTTGTTATAAGAGGAATGAATAAATGTAAATTTTCTGTTGATTTGACCTTAAACCTTTAGGTATGTCGGAAGAGGAATGTGACCGACTGGAACAACAGGATATAGAGAAGGATGAAGCAGAGGAGAGGAAACGTCGACGTAACATCCTGGGGGACCTACAGCATGCCTATGAACATGTTAGTACATTATTCTACCTTGGATAGTTCAGGGACATGTGTACAGACTGCATCCGTTTCACTTTATGGCCAATCTTACATTGTTTCTGTATGAAGTCAAAATTTAAAGAATTTGAATGATATGAAGCTGGACTAGGCATTGCATTGGTTGACATTCAATGATATGAAGCTGGACTAGGCATTGCATTGGTTGATATTCAATGATATGAAGTTGGACTTTGCATTGCATTGGTTGACATTCAATGATATGAAGTTGGACTAGGCATTGGTTGACATTCAATGATATGAAGCTGGACTAGGCATTGGTTGACATTCAATGATATGAAGCTGGACTAGGCATTGCATTGGTTGACATTCAATGATATGAAGCTGGACTAGGCATTGCAATGGTTGACATTCAATGATATGAAGCTGGACTAGGCATTGGTTGACATTCAATGATATGAAGCTGGACTAGGCATTGGTTGACATTCAATGATATGAAGCTGGACTAGGCATTGGTTGACATTCAATGATATGAAGCTGGACTAGGCATTGGTTGACATTCAGTGATATGAAGCTGGACTAGGCATTGCATTGGTTGACATTCAATGAAATGAAGCTGGACTAGGCATTGCAATGGTTGACATTGAATGATATGAAGCTGGACTAGGCATTGGGTGACATTCAATGATATGAAGCTGGACTATGCATTGGTTGACATTCAATGAAATGAAGCTGGACTAGGCATTGCAATGGTTGACATTAAATGATATGAAGCTGGACTAGGCATTGCATTGGTTGACAGTCAATGATATGAAGCTGGACTAGGCAGTGGTTGACATTCAATGATATGAAGCTGGGCTAGGCATTGGTTGACATTCAATGATGTGAAGTTGGACTAGGCATTGGTTGACATTCAATGATATGAAGCTGGACTAGGCATTGCATTGGTTGACATTCAATGCAATTGTTTCAAATTTGATGACAATATTAAATTTTCAATATGACTTTCATAATTATTATTATTGGCTTATGTGTAAAAATTTGTACTGATTTCAACATGATACTAATACACTTTCCAATTGTTTGTGTCGCCTGCAGCGCAAGGCAACATATAGGTACGTTGTATTACTTTGTTGGCATCAGCGGTTGCGTCGTCCGAAAAAAGGTTTCCGTGCGATAACTTGAGTTCCCTAATTGGGTTGATTGAACTCAAACTTCGTACACATATTGCATATCAATATAGCTCAAACAAGTTTGCATTTCAGAAGGTTACGTGCATTTTTACCCCTTTTATTGCTAAATAAGGGCATTGTGTAGTAAATGCAAGAACTTTTTTTTATTCTTTAATCAATTCCTTTCAAATTTTGTACAGTAGAAGCAATAATGTTCAACATATATTTGAGGGTTTTCTGTCGAGTATCAAGTTGTCTTACTAAATGTGCTGAGCAGGCAACACATGCAATCCCGTGGAACTCTTGTTTTACATTTTAATACAAATGTTTATACACTGGGCTGAAAAATATTTTGAATAAGAAACTCACCAAAAGATAGCAAAATACTTGTCCAGTCTCCTTATTCTGAAAGGAGACTCACAATCTTTACCAAAATTTCCAACTTTTGGAATCCAGAATTTTATAAATACAGTATTGTTTTTTTTGCCCAAATTAAGTTAACTCATTGCATTGTACAGCTTAAATTGTGGTATATCATGTAAATGAACTTAATAGCATGTCAAATAGGAGTTACTGTAAGTACTTTTCAGTCAATTTTATGTTTTGACCTGCTGTTTCTTCCCCTTTGAAGTTTGATGACTTTGGATCATTTTGTCATATGTTATGTACACAGGAGAAGGATGAGTTACTGAGACGGCTTCGAGAAGGAGAAGACAAACTGTCACAGGAGAAAGAACGTCAGCTACAGCTTATGAAACTAAAGCGTGACGAACGCAGGGCTCGCCAGGAGGACAAGTTTGACTCGGCTGCTCTCGTCATCGGCATGGCAAAGGAGAGGGAAGAAAAGTTAGTTGACACTTTTTTCATAATAATAGAAGGTTAAAAAATATACATAAATGCTCTTTACAACATAACAAAAAGGACAAACATCAATTCCACTGTATCCTGACATTATACATTTATCATGACACTGTATAATTAAAATATATGACACGTTCATGTCAATGTATTATAACACTATATTATTGTGCTATTTTATGACAATGTATGGTCAGGTCAGAGATAAATGTTTTGTTTTAACTTTGATCTCCATTTTAATTGACATCTAACAATGTCACTATAATATTTGCACTTATTTGTTAAATCACAATACAAGCGGCCATTTAATGTCTGGGGAATCATATTTACGTCAGGTATTGTTTCACTATAAACTGAAAATTAATTTGATTTCATAGGTTTATTGTGCTGAATATGTGTCAGTCATCTGCCTATTATCATTGTTTCAAATCATTTCTTTATTCTCCACAGGATGAAAGAGGATTTGGAGGAAGAGAGGAAGCGACAGATGAGACTTGCAAAAGAGAGACTGGAGGCAGCACGTCGTAGGAAAGCAGCCGGCCAGACAGAGGATGATGACACGGAGTCAGAGATCAACATTGACACAGAGGACAGGATAGTGTTACGTGAGGCAGTAACTATCGCAGTAGACAAACGCCATCAGAAGGAGAGACAACTCCTTATCCAGGTAGCATAATACTACATCCCTCCTACAGGACAAACTCAAGCTGGCAATGTATCGATATGCAGTCAAACGAATAGAATATTCCTTATTAATCAAAGTTGAAATACATACTAGTGATCAGCTGCCATGTGTCAACAAATGAATATTCAAAACAAAGTGTGTATTGGCAAAGTTTCATTGTAGCTTATCAGAATATTCTGGCGCAGTAGATTATTGCACAGTAAAACTGGTGTTATATCTGCAAATATTTGCTTGAAAACACATACTGCAGTTTTACCTAATTCTTAGAATTTTTAATTGAAATTGAAGTTTTGTTTTGAATTTTGTATTAAAATTGATTTAATAATGAACCTCTTTATCTTATGAATGAATGTAAATGTGTGTTGTTCTAATTAATTCCATTTATCTTTTGATGATTTAACTGGAACCATTAGTGTTTGAAGTATTTAAATTATGTTGATGATTTAACTGGAACCAATAGTGTTTGAAGTATTTAAATTATGTTGATGATTAAACTGCACTTTTTGAGTCATTACATCAATCTGCTGACATTACAGATCCTGGATGAGAGCTCTGACAGCCCTTTGAGGGTGAAGATACGCGACATGTCTGAGGAACAACGAAAGGACAAGCTAGCGGAGCTCCAGGAACTTCGGAAGCTTTGGAGGGATGGGGACTTAAAAGACCAGGAGGAACAATTAGAAATATTCAGGGTCTGCATATCATTCAAATACACTGATCCATGTTAATTGATTTCCATTATTGTAATTGAACTATTGTATTCAAAATTTATAACAAATTTAAGTGGAGGATCTTTAACAAAAAGATCATGTGCAAATGACTGGTTACATTTGCATATCCCATTTGAAACGGTTCAGGTGGGGCAGAAATATTCCATGATAAACAAACGCACTTGGACCGAACTACAGACAAAGCTAAAAAAATGCACAGTTTCAGAGAATAAATAACAATATATCAAGAGTAGTATGTCCTTTTTTCAAACGTCCACTAAAGTATATTAGGCATCTAAAAACCTTTGTTTGGATTGTTCTTATTTTATAAAGAAATAATGCAAACAAGCAATAGACAGCATTTTAGTTTCGGTCAGGCACGTCTGGACTATATACACATGCCGAATATTCCTGAGGTCAGCCTCGGTTCAGATTTGAGCCAGTCATTTTCTTTCAGGTTAAACGGTTGCAACTGGTTGAACCTGATACGCAAAAGGGGCCTATAACCTAACCCAACTCAAATTACCTGAATAGGAATAATTGTAGAAAAACTCTTGAATTTAACATGATAAATTATGTAACACATTAACCTTACTGAAAATGTATTGTGTTACATTTAAAACTTACATAGATTTCACTATTATTGATAAGAAGTATGTCCGGCATATCCTGTATTGAGAAGCAGTCATAAGTTATTCTCCATGTTAACAATAAGCTCACTGAGGTTTCTACTTTTCAACTTGTAGGAAGCAGCTTGTATTGAGCTGGAAAGCTTGATGGAAAAGATGAGGTCAGAAGGTCATGACCTTACTGAAGATGACGTTAAAGTTCACATTTTATCTGATCTCCAGCAACAACAAGACAGCGAGAGTCGTCTGCTCTTGGCAGATATTCAAAACAAGGTAAAGAGTAAATTGACCCTTAGACTTTCCTTCTCAACAATTGTATACAGTTATCGACCATTCTTACTATAAAAAAATGTTAAGTTTTACATTTGACTGTTGAAAGCATTTTTATTGGATAATTTGTATACATGTCACTACATGTATGCAAACACCAAAGGAGCTTGCTTCAGTTTCTATTATGTATGATTTATAAAACCTGTATTAAGATTTATACATTTTAGCAGGTATCAGTTTGTAAATTATTATTTTTCTACATCTATTAGGATCCAAAGACCTTACAACAAATTGTCCAGGTACAGAGGATGCTACAAGAGAAGGGTTGGCATGACAACGTAGCTTTCGTACTTCTGGGTAAATCTCAGAAAGAGGCTGATGATCAGACTGAGTCTGATGAAGACCCAGACAAACAACTGGTTGATGCCCTGGAGCAGAAGTATGATGCACTGAGGGAAAAACTACTTGAGGCTGTAAGACATTTTATTACAACTTTTCTATCTCTTATAATATTTAATAGAAAGAATGTCCATTTATATGAAGATAATCAGCTCCAGGCCTGGTCAAACACTTTGGATGTTTTGATAGCTTTGTAATTCCAGAAAAGAGCTATACATGAAGAATTCTTCAGTTTTTGTTGTGTAAACAGGAATTTTGTGGGTTGATCAAAACAATTTGAATAGAAAATTGGAATGAATTATTGGAACTTGCCAGATGTGGTGGTTTGGATGTTGGATAGTATAAAAATTATAATTGTGACTCGCATTATCAATAGACAATTGCCATCATGATTATTTCAAGGATAAGGTGCTATTAAACTTAACTACATCCAAGCTTCCTTTAATGGGTTAGTGGTACTGGTGTGGTGATTAGAGCTACTGGTATGGTATTGGCAAGAAGATTAGTGCGGTAGTTCATGAATTTGAGTCACAGACAGGGCACGAGTCATTTCAGTATTGAACTGCTTTCAGTTGGCTTTTGTAGTCACTACAGATGCCAACTGGAAATGTTACATTCCATGAAGCACACTACATGCTGAATTTGTCATATCCATAACAGCTATCTTCCAGAGAGGTTTAGTGGTATCCAACCTTACTATTGTGACTTCATATAATGTTGTTGTCAGTAAACTAGACTAAAGCAGTCATAGCTGATACAAATGCCATCTGTCAATGCCATATAGTTGTAAATATACATATTTGTCTTACAGATTTGTCTTACATTATACATCTAAAAGTAAAAGGACTAAAATAGACAGTAAGCTTGGTTTCAAAGTTCATCATCAGGACTTCACTTTGATACACATGCAGAAGTTACCTACCAGTACTTATGTACAGAATGATGTATCAATTGAAATACAAGAATATTTAAACACTTAGTACTGAATAGACAATTTGTCTACAAGATGTCTTGAATCATTTTTAAGGCTCTGATCAAAGAGATAGGTGAGGATGAATGGAACAAGCTGAGCGATAAGGACAAACAGAAAAAACTGGTAGAGCTGAAGCTGAGAGAGAGAAAACTACGAGAGGATGGCAATCTAACTGAGGCCAACCAACTCTACGGAGATCTCACAGAAAATAACGAAAGTAGGTCTATTTCTACTGTGATTGGTGTGTTTTATCATTACATGTACTACTTTATAATATTTCAGCTATTTTCATGTACCTAAACATGAGCTTAGTTTTCTTTTTCTCCCTAAGGGGAAGTCATTCATGATAAGCTAGCCTATATTGATTTATTTTCATCATTGCACAGTAGTGTAAATTTCCAACATTTTGTGTAATGTTATTCACATGTAATTTCAAACATACACTTTGAATTATCGATTTTTGCATGTTCATCAAAGGTCAAGGCCATTGTTACTGAAAAAAGAATTTTACAGAAAGAGAACCTATCACACAGGATCAAGGTCACTGTAATTGACAAAAACAATTTCTTAAATCTACTCCAAACTACAGAACAAATAATCACACGAAGCTCAGACTTGAAATGTGTGTTTTCCTAAAAAAGTTGAAGAAAATATTTTGTTTCAGTGGGGTTGGTCAAAGGTCAAGGTCACTGTGTCTTAGAATAGAATGTCCAGAACCTAGCTTTGAGGTAACAAGTTTCAACTATGAAGGCAAAAGCAATTGTTTCACAAGCAAAAGTTTCTTTATAAACATCATTGATGTATCAATAAAATAGGTTTTTGTCTTGCCACCACGAGGTAGCTGAAGTGAGACTAAGGTGTTGCTGTTCAGGTGACGGCAGGGGCGGCATCAACATTAAGTTTTTTTGTCTAAGTTAGTTTTAATGAAAGTAGAAGTGTTATACCAACCAAACTTAGACCATAGATGCCCCGATGCATCTGACCATAGATGCCCCGATGCATCTTAGGTAGTACATCTCACCCATGCATCAAATGTTGAATGCAGCCTACCTTTCATGGTCCATTGACTTTGTCAGCATCTCCATCAACATTAAGTGTTTGTGTTTAAGGTAGTTTCTCTGAAACTATAAGTGATAGACCAACCAAACTTGACATGTGCAATGATGGTCAAAGCGGGGCACAGGCAAGACATAACAATCTGAATGGCTTGTTTTGAGGGGATATGCTTTCCTTGGCATAGTTGCCATGTAATGGATGGTATACATGTTTCTTTACAGTTCTGAATGCCCTTCTTGTGGAGGATGACAGGGATGAAGAACAGAAGATGAAAGACATGATGGAAAGAAAAGAGGAACTGAGGAAGGAAAGAGAGGAACAGGGGCTTTCAACAGATGATGACACACTGAACCAGATGGTGAAAGATGAAGAAGAGGAAAAGAAAAAGCAGCGAAGAAGGGTATTATACACAGCTTAATTATAGTGTTGGAGGGTATTGGGATAGAAAGAGATTATTGTTAATTTTTTTATCAACATTTTTTTCAATGACTCCATATTTTTGGAAGATTCCAAATTTAATTCATTGACATACATAAATACTATCAAATTAACTCCATTAGTCAGGAATTAGCACATGAAGAAACAATTAACAAGCTTTCCTAAAAGATGTCAGTAAGCATTCTCAGCAAAACTTACCCAAGCTTTTGTAAAAAGATATCAGTAGGCCCTCCTTAACAATTCCAACAAAATTTCTGAGGAAAACATAAACAAACTTTCTTTAGGCTTTTAGTAAAAAAAAATGTAAAGCTTTCTCAAGAAATACTCCAAATAAAGGATCTATACTGTGTACCTGTTTTCAGTGTTAGGTGTAATTGCTCTTGTAGAATGTCCTAGAGAACCTGCAGACAATGTTTGAGGATGAGAAGGATGCCCTGATGAGGTCGCTGAGAAATCAACAGGACAGAATTGCCCAGGAGAGGGAGAGGCAGCTGGCCGTCGCCAAGTTACGGAGGGATAAAAATCGTATGAAACAGGAAGAGAAACTGGATTCTGTAGCACTGATCTTCTCAATGGCACACGAGGCAGAGGAAAAACAGAGACAGAAGTGAGAATGACAGTCAATTGAGTTTGTGAACAACTTAATTACGAAAAATTTGAATTAACAAAAGTTCAATAACATATATATATTCGTTTTTCAAATGACCCATAATAAATATTTGTGAGATGTTTGAACTATTGAATAAATCACATCCCAGATTAGTGAAAATTTGTACTTTTGAACAGTATCTGATAAAATATAAAGGTGTTCCTAATATGTTATAAACCATGGATATAAACCTATAAATTAAATTTGATGATAAGCCTTTCTCCACTAACTAGCAGATTACCATGCAGTATTAAAACAGATTTATTCTAAATATGACATTTGCTTGTTATCCCCAGTATTGAGGCAGACAGGCAGAGGATGAGAGCTCTTGCCAAGGAGAGGTTAGAGGCGAGGAAGAGGAAGAAGTTAGACAAGAAGGACAACGAGAACTTAGAGGACAGGCTGAAGGCTGATGATGAGGCTGCGGGAATACAGGAGCTGACACAGCATGCCAAGGACCAGAATGGTAAGTAATACAGATAGATAGATAGGATAAAATGCTCTTATAGCAAGGGGTGTAGTAAAGGGAAGTTCCATCCAAGGGGTTATCACATTGGGTAAATCCCAAGGCTTACCAAGGGTTATGTCCCAATATGGACATCCTCAGTGTTAATTATTATTTATGAAGGAATTCGTTCCCCACCTCATCCACCACTCCAAACTGAATTTGTCATTTAAATTTAAGCAACTTAAAACTAGTGCTAATTTGTTACTTAACAGTATGAATGGGAGCTACATACATGTATATAAGTTTTATAGAGATTCACCTATCAGTACAAGGGTCAGACATGGTGCCATAATGTAATAGAACTTATGATTATGCAGGTACATGAAAGTTACTGTTTGAATAGTGTAATTTTTACAGATGACAATGAATCTGGGTTTTTTCACTTCATAACTATGATCATAGTGTTATTCTAAGGTAGTACTGTATGATGTTCACCATGAAGTTAACTATTCATGATATACTACATCTTTTTAACAGTGGTTGCAGGTTTAGCAAAGAGAACAGGTGATTTTGTGTGGATATTTAACCTAATCATTGATATATTCAACATGATTTCACCATTCTAAATACATTGAAGGAGTGTTGGGCTCTGTCATCAAACCATTAAATTCAATGACACTGTGTTTTTTTGCACGAGATTTAACCTATGTGAAAAAATGTATTGAAAAAAATGCATGATTTTATACTTGCTTGTGTCAAATTATGACTGTATTTCATAACTTGTTTGTGTTAATGTTAGTGTGTAATACCAAATCATCCTAATTATGTAATGATTCATGAAACATCAATGACAAAAGCATGAGATAATATACACAGATACTAACAAGAATGATAAAATTACTATCCATTATAGTCATATTTTTTTTTTTTAATTTCTAAAGTACAAAATTAGATCAAAAGATTGCCACCATATTGTAACTAGGATTTAATTCAGCATTTTTATGTGTTGATTATTTGAAAGAAACATATATGCCTTCAGTAATATTTGATGTCATAAGTTTTCTTTGTGTTCAAATTAAATATTCCAGGGATTTATCCAGCTTTCAAAAAATAAGGCATCTTATTGAAAATGGGAGAAACTCTCCTGGCCTGGACCATGTTTTTACCTTAATTTGTCTGCTCTGACACACAGATGGCAGTGCAACCCAGGGAGCTATCTTGGATTTCATGGACAAGAGACAAAGTGAGGAGAGAGACTTGCTGATGGAGCTCTTTACATCAGCTAAAAATGATACTAAAGCGTGCCAGCAGGTTTCTAAGATGTCTCCTGAGGTACGTAGAATTGTTTATGTCCATCTACCAAAATGAAAGGTAAGACAAAAAAATGAATTTCAGTTTTTGAATTTTTGTAAACCCAGACCAAAGTTGAGAAGAGAGGGAAACGATACAATGTTACTAGTTCATCATAACTGTGTCATCACTTTTTGGTATTTTTGGTAGGATTTGAAAATGGACCTTTCAAAACTGGAACAGGAGCGCACCAAATGGCGAGAGAAATCTCAGCAGGTTGCCCTGGGATTCGATGAGAGTGTGGTAAACAAAGCTGTTTGGGACAAGTACTACAAACAGGTGGCTGAGAGTCGACGGGATCAGACACGTATCCTCACACAAGCCATGGTACAGAGACTGGAATGTAAGTTACATGTGTAAGCATATGGTTCAGATCCCTACCCTGTATCCATATATACAATTGCTGGGCATGAAAAGATGAATACATTCATGCCAAATTTGCTTCTTTGTTCTGTGTATTGCCTTTAACTTCAAGGCTGAAAGTTGACATAAGAAGATATTGGTGTACCTATTCTGTAACAAAACTTTCAAAAGCTTTAAAACTGTATAACTGTTTCAGTGGAGGAGCGTAACCTGAAGGCTAACAGACCAGATATGACTGATGCAGAAGTGAAGGAGGAACTCAGTGTTTCCTTGCTGGCAGATCTGCAGGAGAAACAGGCTACAGAGATCAAGGCCATTCAGTCGCTCATGCAGAAACAGGTACAATTATTGATCAGAGATATCCAAGTGGATTTAGCTTAAATATTTTTGCTAATTGTGTTAACTATATACAGACACACTAGACATCTGTATATTGGGAATTGTTTCCCTCTGTAATGAGGGCAATTTTATAATGAAAGCAAATAATAGTACACAGCATACCTTATATAGCAATTACATGTAAAATTAACACTAGGCAAATGTGGAATTCTCAGGTGGTCGGCGAAAGTTTATCTGGGTGAAAATTAATGTACAGTATTTTATTACAAAATTGCCACCAAGAAAAATTAAACATAACAAACATTTCGAGAAGTCAGAAAGCAATTTCATTGTTTCATCATATGAAACAAGTATTAGATTAACCCAGCTAAAACTATGGATGCTGGGTTTGTATTAGTACTGGGAAATATAAAACATTTTTTGAGTGAAAATATGGATGACGTATCATCATTATGGCATTTGGGTGGTCGGGTGGTGGCACAGTGGATAACACACTCACCTTTCACTAAGACAGCTAGGGTTTTGATTCCGCCGTTCGGGTGTGAAAAGGTATGGGGTCACCTACCTGACCACATGGGTTTTCTCCTGGTACTCCATTTCCCCCCACATAAAGACTCACCCCCCACCCCCCCGGCCCCTCCAACTCCAACCCAACCCAACANCCAACACCCTCAACCCCAACCCATCCACCCTTGTGCTAACATCTGAACCAACAAGAGCGATTAAAAGTCACTGAACAACATTCATGTTATATAACTTTGTATTTGCTGTCTCGAGAACATTATTTTAACATTTTGTGTCAACGCCCCAGGACTCAAATGGCCTTCAGCGCCTAAAGCGACTTCAGCGGACATCCAGACGAGAGGGATGGTATGACAGTTTGACAGCCACTTTGTTCCAGATGTCTGGAGTGGATGGCGATGAGGCCGCACTTGCCACATTTGACAAGATGAAAGCAGATATGGAGCAAGAGCTTGAGAAAGAGAAGGAGGCCTTCATTGAAAATGGTAAAAACATAATTCAGATGTTAATACTTGAAAAATGAAGTTTTATATGCAGAGATATATAGTCAAGAGTTGTACTTGCATACGAGTCAGCTTGTAATGAATTTGACTAGAATGAATGGAAACAAGCTTTACCAAGGAACAGATTCAGACTCTTTACAAATGATTTTTGTCTAATTTCTAATAGATTTTATCCTCTTAACCTAAACTAGATCAGACGTATGTTCCTTGTCTATATCAATTGGAAGATAATATGTTCCCTTTGCCTTTCAGCCAAGAAGAAGGGCAGTGACATTGATATAGATGCCGCTTTGAAGGAACTAGAGAGACAGCAGGAGGCCAAGAGAAGGGTAACATTTAAAAAAATCCCTTTCGTTTTCAAAACTTTTTCAAATTTTTCGCAGTGTTTATGCTAGATAAAAAAGGAATTTATTATGGAATCAAGAATTATTTGATTTGGAAAAGACCATTTTGTTAAGAAATCATTCCCTTTAATTATTCCAAATTTTGTCTGGTGAGGGAGACTGTTATTGTTATGTTTAATTAATTGGTAGACTGTTTACAAGGGAATTTTAATGTCAGATTTATTTGCACAGTTTTGACATTAAGATATATGCAACAACAAATTGAACATTTTTTAGCAAAGAATTACTAAATGACCAAATATATTGATATTGCATGATTTTTAATTTTCCCGCAGCATTGCAAAAAATCAGACTCTGCATGAAATTAAACCATATACAGTGTTGAATTTTTTTATCAGAAAAAAAAAGTTTATTTGGAAATAAACAGTATATAGCACATTTAAGCCAGGTATGAAGAAATTGTTTTGGGTTAACAGGCAATGAACGAGTCGTTGAGCCAACAACAGAAATCCCTGAGAGACAAGATTACTGCCAGGAAACTCCAGGCCATGAACAAGGAGGGAGAAGAAATAGCAGCAGCTCAAATCATTCTCCTAGCACAGGACCAGGAGAAGGCGGAGGTTGAGAGGATTAAATCAGCTAAGGGGAAGCAAAGCAGCCTGGTATGTATCACTTGTTGTCTGAATGAATATTCATCAGATCATTTAACCACCATGAATATTCATTTGATTCCTCACAGGGTGAAAATCTAAATACAAACTTGATGAATGTTCGTTGAAATATTAACTCTTGATACATGTTTTATAAAAGAAAAATTATGTTCTGAAAGGAGGCGTTCTAATTAATTATGTTTGTCACATTTGCAACACTGAACACAGCCGAGGTTTCACTTTTTGACAATGTTTACAACTTATGTGAACGCTGCAAATGATTTCTGTTATTCAGAATCTTGACATTTAAAATCATGATATAAAAATACACACCTCAATCATGAAAATAATGTTCATTGTTATTGGAATTTTTTACATGTGTGAAATGTTGAACAGCTGCCAAGGAGATTTTATCTATACCATTTTAAGCATAATTTCTTTAACCTACAGCTGCAACATAGATTGGAGGCAAGACGTTTGGAGAGGAAGAGAAAGGCAGAGGAGGCCAAGGAAGAGGAGCGACCCCCATCTACCCCATCCAGTACTACCTCCTCACGACCAACCACGGTCGACTCCAGAGTTGTAAGTCCTGGACCCTCCACTCATTATGATCAACTCCAAAGATGCAAGTCCTGAACCTAAGGCTAAAGTTCTCCAGTAGCCTCCATAAAGTGTCAGTGCTAGGCCTAGACCCAAGACCCTGCCAGTAGCCTCCATAAAGTGTCAGTTCTAGGCCTAGACCCATGACCCTGCCAGTGGACTCCATAAAGTGTCAGTTCTAGGCCTAGACCCATGACCCTGCCAGTAGCCTCCATAAAGTGTCAGTGCTAGGCCTAGACCCATGACCCTCCCAGTAGCCTCCATAAAGTGTCAGTTCTAGGCCTAGACCCATGACCCTCCCAGTGGACTCCATAGATATCAAACTTAGAACCATGACTCAACACTGTTAACTTCGTAGTAGACTGGCCCCCGTCTCTAGAATATTTATTTATTTAGAAAAAAAATTAACTCTAATAATTTTGATCACTTGGATGTCTGATTCTTAGTTCTAAACTAAGGGGAGATTAGCTATAGCAGTAAAATGCAGTTGAGAAATTCTTCATAAAAACTGGTAGCCAGTCTAACCCCGTAGATATAGGTCCAAGACCCACAACACATTTCAGTTGAGTCCATAATCTATAGGCATATGATCTAACCCCACTTCCCATGACCAACAATTGACTCCATAGGCATCAAGTCCTAAGTTCTAGAACCATGACCCGCTGCAGTAGATTAAAAATGTTAAATCCCTAATCCTAGACCCTGACTCCACAAAGACCGTCAGCCACAATCTACAAAACCATCATAAATGTTTTAAGAGGTGGGGTATAAACTCATTGTGTTGCAAAACTTTGACAAGTTCTCTATCTATTTTTAATTAAATTCCATTATTTTAGAATGACGTTTGACATAATTTCGAAAGATACAAAAATCATGATTAAAATTATTACTTCAGCACACCATTTAAATTTGTATAATATAAAAGATTGAGACATCTATTTATCTGTTAACTTAACAGATGCCGCCTCCATTCCGGATGACAAGGGAGAAAACTGTGGTAGATGTCAATGTAACGGATGAAGAGAAGAACGCTGTTGTCTCCAAACTTGTACGGGAGCAGACAAGTCTTCACAAAAAGATCACAGACACTCAGAAACAACAGGAGGAAATGGTAAACAGACTCTCCCAGAAGTTATTTTGTCACAATTCTAACATCTAGGCTAGATTGTCAAATGTAATTCTGGAGGTGAACTATTCATTACATGAAAAACTGTTTTCAAATAGAAAAAAATAAATTATAATGTGATATAATAATCATGTACCTTTGGGAATTATCGATTTGAGAAGAGGTTTCAAAAAATATGATATGAAACTACAGTAAAACTTATTTACTGCTAACATGCCTATTTATAATACTGTGCCACAAATATGTCTATTTGGAATTCTTTATTAGAAAATTAAATTTTATCCAGTTGTAGGAAAAGTCTTGTGAACATCACACTTAAATTTTTGCCATGTTACAATGTCCCAAATTCTTAGGTTCTGTAGGGATCCAACTACAAGTTATCTTGATTTTATCTTTTATCAATATTTTTTTTCATTTTCTCCTTTTTTATCAAGAACATTATTGATTGCTTGAATTTTTCGTTTGTTATCAGCTACAAAGACGTCTTGAACTCAGGAAAGGAAAGCGCCAAGAAGAAGCTCAGCAGTTGTTTGAAATTGGTGAAAGAAATAAAACAACGTACCAGAAGAGTAAAGAGGTCAGTACAACACTACTCATGAGTAGGGGTTTCTACAGAGATAAAAATAATGACATTAAACCATTTCTCATTGATATATAAGGTTTTAGTGACATCTGGAGTCTGGGTGCTAATGTTCAATAAACAATGTAAAACATTTAATTGAAACACACAATGCATAGTCCTACAATGATACATATTGGTCACACTTGCCTTTCACCAAGGCAGGTGGGGTTTGACTCCCTGGTCAGATATGAAATTGTATTGGGTCACTTGCCAGACAGACCCCATGGGTATTCTCCAGGTACTTTGGTTTCCTCCCACTTTAAGACCCCCTATGTGCCTTCATTTAGGCCAATGACTGTGATTTATAAAAGTTGATATCAATTAATTCATAATTGCTGTAAAATAAACTCAATTTTATAATTAAAATGATACACGTTAGTAAATTGAAATTCCAGCAAATTCGTTTGTACAATATTAATTCTGTGGGAAGTGCTAAGCAAGTTGTAACAAGAATTATTGTTGAAATATCTCTATCTCTGAAAATCTTGACATCTTAACTGTCACATTATGAAAAAAGTGTTACAGGAAATATTTCTTGTACTGAAATCTATCAAATTTTTAAACAGAATTTTTGTTTGTACCTGTAAAAAGTGCAAAACTAATGGGATGTGTGAGGTTATCTCCCCTTGTCAAATTTAAACGTGATTTACATTTTTCCATCCCTGTGATTTTATTATTCCACTACACAGCTGTAGGGTATACAGAATTTGAGAGTTATCATCAGATTATCTCCCATTACCAAGTTTTCTTCCTAAAAAAGGACATGTTTCATCCATATTAGCTATTAAGAATAATCTTATCCAGAACTCTGAAAAAATATATAAAAATTTTTTTTTACAATTTGCTTCTGGTAAGATGCAATTTCACTGACATATTTTCAATAAACACACTTTGAACAAGGACAAAAAAAACTTTTGTAAATATTTAATATTAAGAAAGAAAAAAAAAAAGCAGATTTAAATGCTTCAATGTGCCTTCAATTTTATTTTCCTACTTTAGGAAGGTTGCGATTCCTAAAATTTCCTGGAAAAACTTTGCCTCAAGTGATTTAGAAGTGTTTGTACTTTTCTCTTCAGGATGAGAAAAGTCGTCAAATGGAGCTGCTGAAGCAGAGGGTACAGGCACGTAGGGGTCGGTCTCGCAGTCCCAACCCCATCGCTGAGTCACCGGTAAGTAGAGGGCAGGGGAGATAGTACATCAAACTAGTTTGTACTTAATAGACTCTCTCTACTAGGATCAAGACATTGATTTCTGTGAAAATTGTCAAATCTGTAATAATCTGTAATAATTGTAAAATGTGATCGCTGTGAAAATATGTATACATTCATTCCATCTGTAATCATGTCAAATGCTGACACATTATTAAGTTAAAAATCGTATCCCTTTGTATATTTTGTAAATTAATACTGTAATTTGTCTTTGAATGCATTGACTTTCTAGCTATGCCTTTTTTCAAATATATATCATAGACTTAAGAATTACGTACAAGTATTCTAGGGTATATAGCTAGGCTGTATTCTCTCTTGCTTCACCTGTATCTAAAACTGAAAAACTACAGCTTTGAAAGTACTGTTCTGATCGGTCAATACTAACAGTGATATCTTCACTATATCACGTGATGATATGATTTTATCAAACTGATAATTCCTGACACTGCACAGGTAAAAGTTTAATAAATACTGATATTATAGCATTTTGCAGACATGTACAAGACTAAACTAGTGTATTACCAAAGTATGGCATACCATTGCTACTTATATAAGTAGATCCCAGTAACATGTTTATATTGCTATGTTATGGTCTGCTGCAGGATGAATGGTAAGTGTCTATGTTTGGGGCCTCTGGTGGTGTACATGCATGGGTCTGAATCCCTTTGGTATCATACAGGTGTTGTTGCTGCTCTAGATCTCCTTTGCCTGTTGTTGCAAAACATTGTACAGACCATTTTATAGTTCGGAATGCCTTATATCCTATACATGACTTTATTACCATAGTCTCTCTGATTTATCCTCAAAGATGGCTTTGAAAATGTTGGTGGCAGGAATGTAACAGGTTAAATTTTATAACTAAAGTCTGTTATAAATTATATAATACTTTCTCTGTACAAGGGAATATCAGTGGCAGTGTAATTCTTGCAATTTAAAACTGTTGTAAAATGCTTTGTTTACAAAGAAAAGGACGTCATACAATGCCAAAATTGCAAATTCTTATCAAAAATCAAAACTAAATGGTATTTTTTGTTCTCCCCAATTAAATATTATAAACAATGTCAATTCTTATAATTGTTAAATATATGATTTCGAATACAAAGCTCTAAAAAGTATGTCGTGAAACTGAAAGATTATTTTCGTTAGTTTTCATAGAAATGACAACTGATTTGAAAAACAAGACAATTGCTAATTAAGTAGTAATAAAGGTGATATATCATTATAGATAGGGGGTAAACATGTCCCTGAGCATCATATGGACATAACTGTAGACCTCTTTATGGTAAGTGTAAAAGAGTTTGAAACTACCAAGGTAACAATAACTTATACAGAATTGTAAACATACTTTATAACACACAACTTATATATAATGATAAACTTACACAGGTAACACACAACTTACATATAATGACAAACTTACACAGGTAACACACAACTTATATATATTGATAAACTTACACAGGTAACACTCAACTTATATATATTGATAAACTTACACAGGTAACACACAACTTATATGTATTGATAAACTTACACAGGTAACACACAACTTATATATAATGATAAACTTAAACAGGTAACGCACAACTTACATATAATGATAAACTTACACAGGTAACACAACAATATATAATGATGAACTTACACATGTAACACACAACTTATATATAATTATTAACTTACACAGGTAACACACAACTTATATATAATGATGAACTTACACA